ACCAAGGGACACGTTGATTTAAGTTCTCGGCCTGCTTGCAACTGTTGCATACTACGGAATACACAACGCAAACAAATATTCAAATATTCAACAAAAAGCGGTGCTGCTTAAAGGGAGGCGGAGGCTTTGGCAATGGGGGCGTGGCAGGGCGGGGGGGGCTAGAACACTCAGCGAGCGTTAGCAGAGGTTTTTTTTCAATTTTGGCTACGTCTCAGGCGCTTTTCAGAGAACGTCATGCATTTACGAATACAAACTAGACTACGTCTAAGTATTTTTAATTTTTAGTATTTTTTTTTTTTTGGGAAAAGGGGTTTGGAGATTCGGGGTCTCTATATATATTTTTTTGATTTTAAAAAGTCCGCTTTTCCTGTGTCCGGTGTCTGGTGTGGGAATGTACAATATAACTATAAGAAAAGACCTATCGAGAATATCGATAAATATCGATTTTCAAAATTATTAAAAATATATATAATTTAAGCAAAGAAAATATATATTTTCAAATAATTATTTTTTAAAATAATAGCAAAAATAATTATATTATCGATATTTTTCGATAGTCTCGATTATCATCCCTAAACTGGTGAGTGGTTTTTGGTGGGTTGGGCTTTGGAGGGGCTTCACTGATTGGTGGTGGTGGTGTGTACGTGTGTGGCTGGATCGATGGGTTAAATGCAACAAAATGATGAGGTTGAAGATGAGGTGTCTCCCGAGGCACAAAGTACATCAACAAAAATGGGTTAATCGATTCGATCGAAGGCTCTACTCTACTTACAGGCCATAGCTGGAGCTGATGCACAGCGAGGTGACCTGCACATTCCGGCGATTGGGACCGGTGGTGAGGCAAACCAATTGTGACTGGAAGCCCGGTGGCTTACGCTGTGCCCCAAAACGCACCTTAAGCGAACACTCAGTTGTCTGAAAAAAGGATATATCAGGATAATATTATTATTATCTTTATTAAAATAAAGAACTCACCTTATCCGAGTCACTTGATTCCGTTTTCTGAACTTGATGACCAGTTAGGAAATCGCACTCGGGACTCGTACCATAGATATCATCAAAATTCTCATAGAGTATGGGTATTTCCAAAACGAGCACCTCCGATGTGGACTCCACTTTACGGAACTTAAATAGCATCACCTGACCCATGGCACCGGCCACGCACAGGCGTCGCGATTCGGAGCAAAGGAAAATGAGATGAACCGCCAATGGATTGTCGCTTTCCGGATGCGAATGGGCCACATGCTGGCGCGGCTTCTCGAACATCTTGGCCGTTTTTAATTTATATAGAATTTGGAGTGTACCGGCACCGGAATCCCAGAATTTTAGGCTACCATCCTGGTGGCCGGTGATCACGATCTCCGAGTAGCTGCACGATGCCGGCGACCATTCACCGCCCGATATTGGCCATTCGCGCTCCGAAAAACAACTCTTTTTACTTGTCGTTGTGCGACCAACCTTTAAAATATTATATTTTAAATATATTATATATTAAATATTAATTAAATAAATTAATAAACATACTGAATAGAAAGCAGGAACCAAATCCGATGGGCAATCGGTTAAATATGTGCAACATGTAACAGGTGATTCGTGTAAGTCCATTGGATAAGGCGATTCAAAACATGGAAAACCGGGTGTTAATAAGTCTATTAATACTAAGTCGTATTGCAGCAGTACGGCAATAGCATACGGCTCCTGGGTCTCTATAAATATATAAGAGATGGATATAGATAGATATATAATATGGATAAGAATAACTAACCGCAGGGCCAGGGATTTTCGCAGAGTGTGATAAAATCGCATACGGCATGCTCCATTTCCAGCACTGTGGTGGCCTTGCCCACCATCACCGTAATGCAGTTCGACTTGGAGCCCTTTTCCGAGGGCATTCCGCCCGAGAAAATGGTAAAAGTTTCCCTGTAATTAAATAAGCAATAATATCATTAACAAGGCCTTATCTAACCTTATCTATTGTGGGTTTTTTTATTACTCAGAAGCCCTCTTGTTTATGTTTATTTTAAAATTTTAAAACAAATTCTTTATCAGAGAATCGTAAAAATAGTTATCTAAGTGTGTCAGAGTGCTGGTTGTTTTTTTATATAAACTTTAATGAGTAAGGGTGGGGTTATTGTCTTGATGATATCATGTTCTTTTTTATTTAAAAATAGTTTAGAGATTTATTTTAGAAACTCTTTGAAACTCTAAGAGCTAAGACTTTAAAGGCTTAAAGAGGCAACAAAAAAATACTAAACAGTTCTATAGAAATACCAACAGTTTAATACCAAATTGAAACATGTTTATACATGTCTGTTGAAGTTTAAAACACTTTATAAGAAGCACTATTCAAAAGAACTCTTATTTATATTTATTTGAAATTTTAAAATAAATTCTTTATCAGAGGATTGTTGTGAATAAACTTAAATGATTAAGGTTGGGTTACAATAGACAATAGTCTTGATGATATCATGTTCTTTTTTATTTGAAAATTGAGAACCTCTAGAACTCTAAACCTCTCTTATAAGAGTAGTATCTGAAGAGCTAAGACTAAGCCTTTTTAAAAACATAACCTAAAAATACCATATCGAGATTTAAATACCAACTAGAAACATGTTTAAACATGTCTATTCAAGTTTTTAAACACTCACCCAGTTGTGCTGGACTTCAAGTCAACTTTATAAATTGGTTTGCACTTCTCCGCGTTGCCATCCTTGTTGGCTTTTGCTTTAAAACGCAAATGGATGGTCGGAAAATTAAATCAATTAAGAAGAGAATACATATATACAAGGACATCAAGGACTTACCATGCGGACAGACCTGCGACTGAGGCTTGGCCTGCGGCTTTGTCGGCCAGGAGCAAATGGAGCCATCCGTGTGCGAGGAGACAAAGTACTTGCCCTCGTAGTGCCAGGCCAGGGATTTCACGGCCTCGGCCGCCTGCCATCGTATCTCGGCGCATTTCGCCTTCAGATCCCACAACACAAGCAGCCCGCACTCAAATGCAATAAGCAACTATAATGGTTATAAAAAAAAATACAAATTAATTAATTTTAAATTCGATTAAAGCTCTCTTCTTTACTCACCTTGTTTGCATCCAATGGATTATCACATAACGCAATCACAGCACCTGGATGACTAGTTCTAACCCTAAATTATATATACAATTAAGTATACAATTAGTTTAAATGCTTGTTGGTACAAATTGAAAGATACTTACACTTCAATTGCTTTATTCCAGTTAATAATATATCCACTAAGTGCAAATGTATCTATGTGAACAACGTGTATGTTTCCCTTCTCGGTGCCCACGTACAGCCATTTGCTGCCCACGGGCAGGTGTATGCAAGTCACGCTGCAACAAAAAAAAATCACAAAAACGATAAATGCATGGGGATTATGTCATCATTAAGGGGGGATATATCCGGTTGCATGATGGTACGTGCCACTTGGATCAAGGGTCATGATTCCTAATTGGGTCTTGAATAGGTATTGGAGGTATTTTTTTAATCGGATGATTTGTTAATCGGGTTTGGTAGTATTTTATAGTATTAAGTGGTCAATTTATCGATATTTATCGATAAATTAGCTAATCTGTAAGGAATTGCTTTTAGAAACCTGTAGCTTTTATAGAAATTTATCAGAATTAAGCTTGATGGATAACTGATACATGATTTTAAGTTTAAAGTTATTAAGTTTTTTAGCGATTAATTCGATAAATCATCATTTAAACGATAATTATGGATATATTCTCTAAATTTCCACGAATTCTCTTCCAAACTACCAAGCTTAGATGGAAATTAATCGAAATTAAGAAGTATTAAGCTATAATTTCCTTAGCGATACATTCGATAAATCATTCAAAACTATGTTTATCGATATATTCTCTAATCTTCAACGAATTCTCTTCCAAAATCTTCATCTTAGATGGAAATGAATTGGAAATAACCGATAAATGATGTTAGGGATAAAGTTTTCGATTTTATTAGCAATAAAATCGATAATAAATCGATATATTTTTAAAGCTTTATCATATGGTCCTCCAAACTCTTGAGCTTAGATAGAAACCAATCGGAATAAAGTTCTACAAGCCATAAAGTACAATAAATCATAATTTGAACGATAATTATCGATATATACTATTATCTCTATCGATTTTATACGATATTTCACCAAAATACTTACCGCTCTCGCTGAAATTTCAGACTCTGCACAATACGCGGCGTCTTTTGGCGAATGTTCCACAAATGTATGGTGTCATCGGCGGTGACGGTGACCAGGGCGCCCTCATTGACCAGGAACTGGGCGAACAGCACGGCGCACTCCGATTCGCCCTCGTGTTTGGCATGGGCATCGACCCCCGGTCGTCCCAATCTACAATCATAAATCATCATCATATATATGAATTATAGTATAATTATAAAACTAAAACTAAACTTACATGCGAATATAGCCCGATTTGTCGCCAATTGCTAGTAGCTTTTGTACTGGATCAAAGGCAAAGGATGTGGGCGAGTATGGGAAGCCATGTCGAAAGGTCTGCAATGAGAGGTACAAGCCACAGTTATGGAATGGGAAGTAATATCTTAAGTACTTAAGTATAATCTTTAATATTTTTTGTCAAGAGTCGACCTTAAGGGCATCGATTATAGCCGCGTGTGTCTTATGATAGATTCTATCGATATCAGCTACCAAATAAAACACCCGCTAGCTGCAACAGATGCCTTCTTCAAGAATATCACTTTATAACCTTAAAAAATCTTGTAGAACTCACCTTCTTCAGCGTAAAATGATCGGCCTTGAGTTGCTCCTGGATCTCCTGCTCCTGTCGAGTGGCTTGGGGCTGTACGCTTTGTCGAAATCCATCTAGAACTCCTTTGAATGTGAACTTTTTCATTTTTGTAACATGAGTAGTCGTCCTCGTCCTCCAGCTGCTGTTCTAACTGTTCTTGTTCTTATGCGATGATTCTGCTTTCTTTTTTTTGTGTAGGAGAGGATGTAGCGGATAGTTGATGGAAGGATAATGCCAAGGATATACTACTGCTACGGGGGGGGATACGATTGGGATGGGTGGGGGGCGATGATCCTGCTCCGAGGAGAACCGAAAAATGGAGTGGAATAATTTTTGTTTCGTCCTCTCTACGCGTCAAGTCCTTGGCGATAGACTTTCTTTTTTTTTGGTTTCTTTACAAGATTTTCAAGATTTATTTTGTGGGTTAATCGAAGACAGAGGAGCCAGCGCTGCTCTGAACTCGTCCTTGTTGGTTTTTGAATTTTTTTTTGTTTTTGGGAAGTGAAACTAGGTTAACAATAGTCGAATTAATAGCTGCAAGAGAGAGACAGAACGAAGAGACAACTAATTAAAAAAAAGCGGAACAAGTTCAAATAAGTTTCAAACTAGTTCAAGCTTGTTTACAAAACTTTAATTACAGTTAAATATATATATGGGTATGCTCTGGGGGATATATGTTGACACATTTGCTCATTAGTATCCCCTTTTAGATATTCTTTTTTATTTAAAAAAAAAAAAACACTCAATATCTTCAATTATGGCAAGTCCTTGTTGTTAAAAAAAAAAATGTATGGCCTACTTTTTAGGGCCCTCTGGTAGTCGAGAATGCTTCTCGCTTGACTCTCCACCGAGTTATGAGAAATCATCGGAATCGGAGAAAGTAAGAAATCAAGTAACCATTTTTTCTATCAAGCTGTGCGGTTAACCGTTATTTCTACTCATTGTTTTGCGTTCTTCTTCTTGCTGGGTCGTTTTGTTTCCGTTTCCGTTTCTGTTGCTCGGCCTGGGGGATTACATAAACCTTGATTTCTATGCAGACTTTGACAATGGCACACGTAGATTAATTAAGAGCCTCGACCTTACTCTCTCTCCCCCCACCCACTCTCAGTGCCTTCCTTGCTCTCTCTTTTTTTTTTTTTTTTGCTCTTTTTGTTAAATGGAATCAATCTGTTAACGGGATATTGCGATTGCAATGAGAGAAAGACTATATCCCTGAAGCTGTTAATTGAAAATCGTTGCTACATTATGTTGCACAACGAGTATGTGTGTGAGTGTTTTGAATAGATGGTCTATATTGGAATATATATGGGTTGCCTATATATGTCTATATGTAGATATATATATATGCACTTTTTGATGGCACACAAATCGATTTTTTCGCACACTCGCAGCCCCCATCGCAATGTCGTGTGTTCGACGAACTTATACTACATACTACAGCTCTTCGTTTTTGGTTTTCCTTTTTTTTCACTTTTGTTTGTCCTCTTGTTTTGTTCTTTTTATTATTATTTTTTTTTTCTATTTTATTTGCAATTGTTTACGCTTTGACACACACACACAGATACAATACACATATGGGCGCAACAGTGAGGAAGAAATTGGGGAAAGTAGGAGATAGAGAAGGGGATAGAGTGGGGATAGAAGAAGGACAAGCAAATCGTTGGCATACTTTAAATTTAATTCCCGCAAACAAACAAGCCATGTGGGTGGAGAAAGGTAGAAAGGAGATAAAACCGAAGAGTAGGAGGCGGAGGAGCAGTTAAGGAAGATGGTGTCACTACGTATGTATGTGGGGGAGTGAGTGTTTGATAATGACACAGTGTGTGTGTGTATGTGTGCCATACCACCCACCCCCCTCGTAATGATGATTAAAATGCCATCGCGTGGAGAGTAGCACAAAAAGAAGAAGAATCAGAATCAGAAGAAAGAGTATGAGGCGGGAAAAAAAGAGTGTAAGAAGAAGAGGAGTGGGAGCAAAGGATGCTGCCCGAAATCTGTGTATGTATATACATCTCGCTTGCTCCCCTTTCCTGTATGTGCGTGTTTCTGTATGTGTGTGTGTGTATAGATAACCTCGATTTACAGATTTTTCTCACACTCATACACACACACACACACCTGCTTGTTGCTACTCACATGTTTAAACTACATCTTTTTTTTTTTTTTTTATGCTGATTCTGCTTCCGCGAGAGGGAGAGAGAAAGTGAGGGGGGAGCATAGAGAAGGTAGAAAATAAAATATGTTGAGGTAAGTATTTTAAATTACTTTTTTGTTTATGCAAGGGGGGGAAGGAGGGGTCTTAGCATCACACACACACACACACACAAGCACTTGAAAGAAGATATCCTTTTTAACAGAAACGCGCGATTTTTAAGCTTAAAATTGATATATTTTTAGCTTAAAATTGTTTAGTTTTTAGTTTGGTTTTTTTTTAAGATTAATTCTATTATTTCTTTACAGGGAGAACCAAAAAAATATGCTGCTGGTTGGCTGTCAGTTGTCGACTGAGCTGCTGCTGCGACGCTGCCACTGCGAAATGTCCGAGAAATGCCATACCCGGAGAGCCAGCAAGTGAGAGTAAAAAAGAGAAAGAGAGAGCGAGGAGCAGAGGGAAAGCTTTGCTCCTTGCCAGAGAGAGAGCCTCCTATTTCCCAGGCTCCTAATCTGCCTGTGTATAAGTGAAGCTGAGACCATTAACCGAAACACACACACACACACGCACACACACACACACTAAAAAAAACCTCATTATCCTTAATGGCGTCTTTTCATAGCCTACTTCAAGGCGTTCTTCATTTTTTTTTTGTTTACTAAGCAACCAAAAATCACAGGATGTGCTGGTATGCGAATGATGTATGTATGTATGTGTGTATGTATTGGTAAGACAGCTGCCATGTGAGAGTTTAGTGCGCAGGCTTACGCTAGGATACACGCCAGGATACCCCAGAAAGCAGCAACAACAACAATTCGGCCAAAAACAATGCAAAATGTTTTGCGCGCGCGGTCACATGACACAAATCCCACTGCCACACACACACACACACACACACATACTACCAAACACTTATACATTTACAAAAAATTTGTTGAGGCAGCGCAGGAGCAGACACGCACGCACAAACACACACACACGTACGTATACGCATTCTCACACCCATTTTAATATGGCGATTCTTATTGGAATCTAATACGCTTAAAAGAGCTTTAAAATTTACTTGGCCGAAACATCTGGAACGGGATTTTCTACATTTCCCTACAATTTCCAGAATTTTTAACACAAATTTTGGATTTTTACGAATTTATGGTTTTGAGTTAAAAATGTATATATTTTATTTTTGTTAGTTTCTTTTTTATATATTTTTTTTGATTTTTTTTTTGTGGTATTTTCGGGGGGGAGAAACGCGTGTGAACGCGTCGAACGCTCGGCACCGAAAACTGAACTGGAAAACTCGCGCAGTTTCCTTTCCTGCACGTGTATGTATATGGAATATGGAATACACACACACATCTTAATAACTACAGTAGATGGTCCTTATAAGGATAAAGGTTTAAAAGGGATTTATAAAGTTATTTCCTTATGGTTTTTTTTTTAAGATTTTTGGTTTAAAGAGTTCAAAATAGAAGTTTAAACCATAAAAAAATATAGAATTTCTATATTTTTATAAATTATTTTTTAAAAATTTGCAATTCCTTTGGAAAATTATCCTTTTTTCCTAAAATATACACCTAAAATTAAGAAAAAAGTGTACAAAAATTGGGAAAAATTGGGCAAAACTTCCTATATTCTTGTAAAAAACAGAATTCTTTTAAAACCCCTATTTTAAAATAAGATTTAATACCATTTTTTAAGATTTAATACTTTAACTTTTCAAAAAATTGAAATAATCAAGATTTTTTTTATCAAAAAATAACTCAAAAAGCAGGAAAAAGCTTATTTTGAATAAAAAAAATTAATTTTCTTTATAAAATGTAAAAATTTTAGGGATTAAAACCGTCATAAAGAGCCCCCACTGTACAGATATCCTGATGGTTATGCAAAGCAGGCCAGAGTTTGTAGGGTTGTTGCTGGCTTTGATTTCGTTAGCATACGTTGGCAACCCTGTTCACGCTCGATACATGTGATTGTTGTTGTTGTAGTTGCCAGGGAAGGGGCAGGACGAAGGATAAACCGGGTGAAAGGGGGGCCGAAAGGAGAAAGTTTAAGAACCAGAACAGACATGAGATTTTTTTTTTTTTAGAAATATTAAATGAAGTGAAGGTAATGAGGATTAGGGGGGTTAGGGGGTTGAGTAAGTAATCTCCTACAAGCGAAAGAGTACATACTAAAAAATTTAATCTACTAAAATGTAAATACTTGCCCCGCCCCCTCCCAACCCCGCCGCTTTAGTGCTCTCTTTCTAACGTTAGGATAACGTGGAGCGAAAATTTGCATAGAAATTGTAATGAGTTATGCGCAAATATCCTTTGAGCGCGCGGCCATTATCAATAACTCAGCAAAGTAGGCAATAAAAAGGAGTCCAAGGAATGAGAGCGCCATAAAGAGAGAGGAAGAGAGAGTACGGCCGACAGAGAGAGAGAGTAATGAGAAGGGAGAGAGCAACTCTTGCGTCATGTGTTGGCCGAGTCCAATAAGAAACTTGTTGGGCCAGCGGGCGCAAGAAATTCTGATAAGAAATTTTTGCAATACCTACGAGGGTGGGCGGGTAATAAATGGAGTAACGGTAAGGGCAGGCGTATATGTATGGTATAGTATGATGATATATAGTGGTTATGGGATAAGTAATCAGTTGATGTGATTCATCTGAATGGGCAAATCACAATAACAATTTAACGATGATATTAAAAACGCAAATGCAAACATGTTGTCATCCCACATACTATACTACTCTCTCACAATCAAACAAAAAAAACAGTAACACACACGTACAATACACTCACAAGCACTCCAATAAGAAATTTGCATTTTCACACACGCGCAAACATAACATCATCATCGTAGTAAGCAAAACAATAACAACAACAACAATAGCCAACAGAGACGTACACATTCCAGAGCACCACCGCTACTACCCACAACCCGCCCCTCTCCGCCCACGCCCACCTGTTTCATGGCGTTTTAATTCCGCTGCTACGCCTTTCATCCGTCGCTTCCGTCTATGACACTTGTCGCGCCCGATTGGCGTTCCTTGATTTGTCTCCTGCGACTGCACTCTGCCACCTGCCCTGTAATCGGGGCTTAAAAAAAACCGAAAAAACTAGCAATAAAATGCAAAAAATGCTAGAGCTGGAAATAAAATCGATTCCAGACTCGATATATTGAGCATAACAGTTTTTTTTTTCCCCCATTCGATAAATCAGTAGTGTTGGTCAAGGCCCAACAGTAAAAGCTGTTAGGAACAGCTGTTAGTGCTAGGCGCCAACTGTTATCAGTTTGAAAGCTTCCATAATCGTAAATAATAAATCTTGCTAAAGCTTATCAAATAGAAGATTTACACGAATCTTCCGCTTCAGAGAGTTTCATAAATTAGTTCATAAATATAAGAAGTAAGATATTTAAATAAATTTGTTTATTTCTCATTAAAAATAGACTATCGCCGTTGCTGCTCGGCCTTCTGAGTCACAAAAAATTACATTTATGGAACGAAAATACTCTCTTTTTCGCTGGAATTCTATGCAACACGTCATTGTTTTCGGTATTTACACAAATAAATAGTAATTGTCTAGGAGGATGTGATGTCACGCCTCGTTCTTTCGCTTCAACTGTCCGTGGAGCAGCCATTCGCGTCCTCCCGGCTGCTGGGAACGTTCCAATAGCTGGTGGAGTCTCTCCGCCTGGTCCTGGTGGGATGATGCTCCCTCTTGCAACGCCGCTGAGATCTCCTGCAGCAAGGCGCCTTCCAGCAGATGCGGCTCATCCTCGTCTATAAAGCGCCGCACGCTGGCCACCAGCTCGACCAGGTGCTCGTCCACAGCCCCGGGGAATAGCTGTTCCATGGCCGTGGCCAGATTGAAGAGATATTCACGATTGGGACCGCTGGGTCCAGCGGAACTGAAGATCTGCCTGGCGATGCACGGAACCTGCCACACATCGCCGGCATACGAGTCGTTGGCCTGCGTTGCCACGTACATGATCACCTGGATGGGCTCTACGCCCGCGGCTGAGGTCTTGGGGTATTCGTGGAAGTGCAGGCTGCACCTCTCATAGCCGTTCTTCTCCCTGTAGTCCAGATGATCCAAGACGGCGCCCTTTTGCCTGCCAGCAATGCGATAGGCCACGCCGTAGACCCGATCCTTGCTGGGATCACCCGGCAGGAGGGTTACAACGCGTCCCGGACGCTCTGGTATCCCCCGGTGGTCGATGCTGTGCTGGTAGAAGCGTCGCTTGAAGCCCCAAACGAATCCCCGCCGCCGGTCTATGTAGGGAAAGTCGGCCTTCCACACCAGCGATCCGTAGCCAAAGATCCAGACATCCTCGTCGGTGGGAGGGGGTGGCACCTCCTGATTGCTGACCACCGCATCGAAACATTCTAGCAGGGAATTACTGGCGGCAGCCGCTAATGTTTTCTTGGCGAGGATTTCGGAAAAAAAGTTGCGATAGATGTCGTTGGGCAGCTGTTCGGAGGTGGCACCAGTGCTGCGGAATTCCTCCAGATAGGCCAACATCTGTGACGGCGTTGGCGGTGTCGCTTCCATTGAGTTCAATTGATTTATAATTAATATTAATAATTATCGAACGAGAACGGTGACAGCTGATTTCTGTAAACAGACTGTTAAAAGCTCACAGGGGTACTTCTGTTAGCTTGCCGTAGGCACCCTGTTAAGCTCTGTTAAGCTCAATCAGCTGGTAGTGGTGCTGCCACAGCAACAACAAACCAAAGCCGTAAACAAATCGCATTCCGGAATCTAATTACCCATAAAATTAGCCCCCAAGCCCACCCCTACCAACGGCCAGCACCATGTCCGGCAAGGACGATCGATCCAAGGAGTGAGTACGCGACGTAACACGACTCCAGGCGGAAATTCACAGTTGAAACTTTTCGCAGAAAACGCAGGAACATGAAGCAGTACGGCGGCCATCACCACAAAAAGGAGCCGGGACGTTCGACCACGACTTCGTCGGGCTCCCCGCCGCCCACCTCGCGACGCAGCATGGTGGATGTGGCGGACTCCAGTGATGAGCCGCGATTCGCACGACGTGGCAACTGGCAATCAGGAGGCGCTGGCGCTGGAACTGGTGGCGGCAGATCCTCTCTGGCTCCGCAGCGTAATAGGAATCTGCTGGACACTCTGCCCAGCGACATGGATGATGTGGAGCAACTGGAGGGAGCACCACCCATTGATGAAAACGCCAGAGCGCAGTTGCGAGCCGGAGACTACAAGCAGATGTCACAGTTTCCGAGTCTCGGCGGTGCCCACTTCACCTTCGGTTCGGAAAAGGAGTGGACCAGCGTCGCAGAGGGTCAGACGAAGCTCAACACCAAGGCGGCCGGTGGTTACTTCACCCTGAATCTGAGCCGCTTGAATGCCGGCCTCCAAACGATTCCCTTCTACAAGCGCATGGACTATCCATCGAGCTTTTTTACTCGCCAGCAGATTGCGGCCCAGGAGCAGGCCGCCGAGAAGGCAGAAGCGATCTACCAGCAGCGTATCCTCCGTGAATCGAACGGTAGTAGTGCTAGGAAGGCTTCAGCCAAGGCAGCTGAAAAGCCAGCGGTTACAACCACACCAGCTCTGGATAATGATCCGGACGAGTTGGACGAGCTACTGGCCATGACAAGTTCCCAGATGGACATCAGCTCTGGCATAGGACCCATCACCATGCCAATGCCTATGCCCATGCCAATGCCGATGCCCATGGTGCAGCCAGCCACTCCCTCATCGGCGGCAAGCAAAAACGAGGTGGAGCAGTGGCTGGATTCCGTGTTGGATGAATGAACGGAAGGAAACCCTCGTCCAGAAGGAGACTATCACTTCCAAACTATGTAGATTTTTAATAGAAATTGCAATGCTTAAATAGGCCATTAAAAATCACCAAGTGCTTAGCTTTAAAGACTAAGAAATGTTGTTTTTTTAAATTTGTTTTTAAACTAAAAGGTTTAAGGTTGGATTTTTGGGATAAAGATCTCGCTTTTTAGTGATGTTAAGGTGGGTTTTTATTTCTAGACTTGTCCTTCTGTCAGTTTTTTTTAATATTTTATTTTATATCTTCATATTCTTTTTAGATCTAGATAAAAATAAAGTTTTATAATAAATTAAAAGAGAATTATTAAGAAAATTAGGCAATCTTTCGAGGCAGTCGAAGAAAAGTGCTACCAATTGGTGTGAAAGTTATGCTTTAAGTGCTGCCAATTTTGGCAATAGAACAGTCGAAGAAAAGTGCTACCAATTAGTGTGAAAGTAGTGCTTTAAGTGGTGCCAATTTTTGACATCTTAGTAGTGATTAAGGCCTTATGCAAAAGTTTTGTTTTAAATAAAAAAAAAAAAAAGATTTTAATTAAAAATACTGATTTATGACACAGACAGGTAATACAGACACGTTCTATTATAAAAAAATCCATTTTTTTTTGTAAAATTAAACTTAAAAAAAGGAAAAATGTTTTAAAAAGACTAGAAAAGCGATACCTTTGAGGTTTAATTTCCGAAAAAGTAAATATATATCTAATTTAACGATATAATCTAGGATAATAAAACAAAATAGAATACAGATGTGAAATCTTTATAAAATTAGCTAGAAAAGACCCACAATTTCTTTAAAAGAAGGGAAATTTATGGTATTTTTGAAAGTTTAGTTAAATTATATAAAAATATAGTCTATAAAATGTATTCCCCCAACTACTAGGCTATCTAAAGGCTATGTATAATGTCTATAAAACTATAGTTCCCCGATCTTTACATTAAAAGAAAGTATCACACTTCTACCTTCAAAAAGGAAAAGTTAGGACTTTTCCGATCAATTCAGTTCTATGTTATCTATAGGATAAAGTCTACTGATTCTTATTGGATCTGAAAATCTATAGAAAGACCCAATTTTTCTTATAATTGGTTTAAAGAATACAATAATTTATGTCAAGAAAGCGGATCATTCAAGTTGCGTTAAATAATAGCTCATATTTTAGAATAAAAATCCCACTTTTATATATAATCTTTCCGCAATTAAGCATTATTCAAGTCGGATATATCCTATTTTGGTTCTATTACACTTGTTCCCTAAGAAAATCAATAAAATTAGCATTAAAACTTGAAGCTTTAATGGCCAAAACAAGGCCAAGGGTCATTGAAATAAATGAAACCAATTAAATCAGTTAAATTAGTGTTATTTCATTAGAGAACCTTTAAAAATCCAATTTTTAAGCAATTTTTATAAAAAAATCTTTCAAAAACAATGCATTTTAAATTCTAGAACGTCCCATGTTCCTATTCCCACTCGTTCATGCATTAATATTCCAAAAAAGCACACCATGTATGAAAAGAAGGGCCTTATTCACTAAAAGACCGATAATTAGGAGTCAATATCGTCGTGGCTATTGTCCCTAATTGACTGATCAACGACTATAAAAGGCGGCCGAGTGGCTGCAAAAGGTCTTTTTTACTTCAGTCGTGGTCTCGACCACATCTCCTAATTTCCAGTGAAAACAAAAAAAAAAAATAGTGAAAAGTTGTGAAGTGTTTTTAAACAGCAAGCTTGGTAAGTTGAACAAAAATTTTATTTTACTTTTTTATTTATTGAAATAGGCCGGTACTTTTAAGTCAGTTTAGTTTTGTTCTCATTTATTAGTGATTCTCTTTCACAACGATTTGTGTTCCTTGAAATAAAATTGTTTCTTTTTAATAACTATTTGATATTTTTAATAAAAAATCAGTTTGTTTTCAATACGATTGGCTTTTTTCCAAATCAAACGCGGTTATTTTTTTAAGAATATGTATTTTTCAATAAATTCCCTTTGAATTCGAGATCTTTCCCGTTTTCTTGCAGTTTTCACGATGTTTTTGTGCATTTCAAGTAAGTTGGCTATAAAATTAAACAGAATCCTACAGTTCCTTGGTAGCAAACCTAACCCCTTTCGCTCTAATCTTAATCCGGTATTTTCCAATCAATCCTAAGCATTTCTTCCAAAAGAGTTCAAAAATATGAAAACCCATAAGAATCCCTACACGATGCTACCAATATTTCTCGAAAATTTCTTTCGGAAGTGGGTTTTTCTTGATTTTTCTAGTATTCTTACGTGACCGACGAAACATAACCTCATTCGCCTCAGGCTTAATCTTGCTCTTCTAAAGCAATCATTAGCTTTTCTTCCAAATTTCTCCTGAAATAAGGAAGCCCAGCAGAATCGCTGGACGACGCTACCAATATTTCTTTAAAATTTTTTCCGGAAGTGGGTTTTTTCTTGACTTTTAGTATTCTTACGTGTATGACATAACATAACCTCTTTCGCTCTAATCTTAGTCCGTTATTTTCTAATCAATCCTAAGCATTTCTTCCAAAAGAATTCAAAAATATGAAAGCCCACAAGAATCCCTACACGACGCTACCAATATTTCTTGAAATTTTCTTCCGGAAGTGGGTTTTTTATTGACTTTTAGTGTCTGACAAAACATAACCTCATTCTCCTCAAACTTAATCTTGCTCTTCTAAAGCAATCCTAAGCATTTCTTTCAAATTTCTTCTGAAATACGAAAGCCCATGAGAATCCCTACACGACGCTACCAATATTTCTTGCAAATTTCTTCTGGAAGTGGGTTTTTTCTTAAATTTTAGTATTCTTACGTGTATGACATAACATAACCTCTTTCACCTCAATCTTAATCTGTTATTTTCCAATCAATCCTTAGCATTTCTTCCAAAAGAATTCAAAAATATGAAAGCCCACAAGAATCCCTACACGATGCTACCAATATTTCTTGAAAATTTCTTCCGGAAGTTGGTTTTTCTAGACTTTTAGTTTCTGACGAAACATAACCTCATTCTCCTCAAACTTAATCTTGCTCTTCTAAAGCAATCCTAAGCATTTCTTACAAATTTCTTCAGAAATAAGAAAGCCCACAAGAACCCCTACACGATGCTACCAATATTTCTTGAAAATTTCTTCCGGAAGTGGGTTTTTCTAGACTTTTAGTATTCTTACGTGTGTGACCAAACCTAACCTCTTTCACCTCAAACTTAATCTGTAATTTTCCATTCAATCATAAGCATTTCTTCCAAAAGAATTCAAAAATATGAAAGCCCACAATAATCCCTACACGACGCTACCAATATTTCTTAAAAATCTCTTCTGAAAATGAGTTTTTCTTGATTTCTAGTATTCTTACGTGTCTGACCAAACATAACCTCTTTCACCTCATGCTTAATCTTGCTTTTCTAAAGCAATCATTCGCTTTTCTTCCAAATTTCTTCTGAAATAAGGAAGCCCATAAGAATCCCTACACGACGCTACCAATATTTCTTGAAAATTTCTTTCGGAAGTGGGTTTTTTTTAGACTTTTAGTGTCTGACGAAACATAACCTTCTTCGCCTCATGTTTAATCTTGCTCTTCTAAAGCAATCCTAAGCATTTCTTCCAAATTTATTCTGAAATACGAAAGCCCATGAGAATCCCTACACGACGCTACCAATATTTCTTGAAAATTTCTTGCGGAAGTGGGTTTTTTCTTGACTTTTAGTATTCTTTTGGGTCTGACCAAACATAACCTCTTTCACCTCAAACTTAATCCGTTATTTTCCAATCAATCCTAAGCATTTCTTCCAAAAGAATTCAAAAATATGAGAGCCCACAAGAATCCCTACACGATGCTTCCAATATTTCTTGAACATTTTTTTCCGGAAGTGGGTTTTCCTAGACGTTTAGTGTCTGACGAAACATAAGCTCTTTCGCCTCAAGTTTCTTGTTTATTATTCTTTTTATACCCTTGCAGAGGGTATTATAATTTTGGTCAAAAGTGTGCAACGCAGTGAAGGAGACATCTCCGACCCTATAAAGTATATATATTCTTGATCAGGATCACCTCCTGAGTTGATATGAGCATGTCCGTCTGTCCGTCTGTCCGTCTGTCCGTCTGTCCGTCTGTCCGTCTGTCTGTCCGTCTGTCTGTCTGTTTCTACGCGAACTAGTCTCTCAGTTTTAAAGCTATCGTCTTGAAACTTTGCACACACCCTTCTTTCCTTTGCACGCAGTATATAAGTCGGAACGGCCCGGATCGGCCGACTATATCCTATAGCTGCCATATAACTGATTGATCGGAAATGGTATAACTTTGGTGTTTTTACAGTTAGAGAGTTTAAATTTCACATGAGAGCTATTTTTGGCAAAACATTACGACATGCCAAATATCATAAGGATCGGCTGACTATATCCTATAGCTACCATATAACTGAACGATCGGAAATGACCCAACTTTCGCGTTTTTGAAGATAGAAAGGTGGAATTTAGTACAGATTCTATTTTTGGTCAGTTGATCCAACCTACTAAATTTCATAAGGATCGGCCCACTATATCCTATAGCTGCCATATAACTGAACGATCGGAATTTACCAAACTTTTGTGTTTTTGACGATAGAAGTTTGGGATATTTTTAGGTTTGGTTTTTGTATTATATTAAATTGGGTTATATTATCATATTTTTATAAGGATCGGCCAACTATATCCGATGTTTGCGATATATATCCGGTTTTAACTGCAAGGGTATATAAACTTCGGCTCCGCCCGAAGTTAGCTTTCCTTTCTTGTTTTTTACTGTTTTAGTTCATAAACTTTACATAACCTCCACCTCCACTTACATATGTACATATGTGGGTGTGCTTCGACTTTCCATTTATTTCTACCAGCTCCAAATCCCATTATCCATGCACATTCCAGAAAGTTTCCAAACCTAACCTCAAACCCTGCAAGTTAAATCATGTTTCCCTGAGAATTTTCTTGAAAGGTGTTTTTAACACCAAAAAGCTCTAAAAGAAACTATACACGAGTATTATTTCCATTAAATCGATCTAATTTTTGTTTTTCTTAACATTTTTTTAACTGTCGGACCCAAATTTTACTATTTTTGTCCATTATTGCAAAACTTTTCAAGTTTTCTTTGCGAAGTTCCCGCCAAAATGGTATTTTCACCATAACCTCTATTTTGGCGGCAAAATAAGCCACAATATCATGCTTTTTTCCTTTTCTTTTTTTTTTTGCCATTTCTTTTTGGTTAATTGCGTGTTTCGTCAGAAAAAATGTCAAACCTAACCTCATTTCCATTTACCGGAAATGCCAAACCTTAACCTCAATTTCATCTAACCGGAAGTTGTCGAAAACTGCCCCCCTCGGAGTCAATTTTTAATCCATCATTTTTCATGCAATCCTCACTATTTTGTGAAAAGTTTTCATAAAACTGAACAGCAGAGAGAATTTAAAACACGATAGTGGCATTATTTCGCAAAATATTCATATTTAACCATATATTTTCTTGGTTTTAATGAGTAATGGTGTAATATAGCATACTGGTGTGAAGAGTGCAAAAAAAAAAATGGCCGACATAACCACAAAATTAGTGGCTTTAGAGTGACCGTAGTTACCCTTGGCCCGATCTGGCATCACTCTTCAGTTACAGTTATAAAGTGGTGTTTGTTTACAAAAGTTTTAGCGCCACTTTTCAAGATTTCTATTGTTGACATCTTTGGGAGCCGGTAGAATCTTGGCCTCCTGATAGAACTTGATCATATGGCCATGGAGTAACTGCATCAGTTCGCAGACAGCTTCCAGCAGCACAAGACGCTCCTCCAGGTGGCCCAGATCGTTGCCCAACACCATTTGGGGGCGCAGCTCCTCCACGATGGCCATCAGCCAGCGGAATATGACCGCCGCATCATCCTTGGTGAGTTGCATCAGCTCCTCGGATATTCCAGCCTCGTGGCATAACTTTTGCGGCTGTCCGCCGAGTGGTCCCAGCACCAAAAGCGAAGCAATTAGACGCACCACCAGGTGCAGGGCATGCAAGTAGGAATCCAGATATAGACCGGGATTCACGACAGCCACTGCCAGTAGGAGAGTACCATAGGGACGCATTATATGTGATTCCAGGCCGATCTCGGTGAGGCGATCGAGAAGAGACCACAGCAGGCAGGTGCCCACCACACGCGCCATGGTGCTCAAGGGGCTGGCCATGCGGCAGCACAGGATCAGGTTCATCATGACGCTGGAGTCATTGGCGTCCAGCAGGTTGAGGATCTCCACGCACAACTGATGCACCTGCCAGATGAAATAGGACCAATTCCCTTTACCACCAATCCTTCAATCCTCAAAACAGAACTAGAATCTCACATGGGTTTCCTCGGTGCAGGCCATATAATCGAAGCATCTCTGCAGGAACAGGGTCCTCTTCACCTGGGTACCGGCCAGATCCTCGTGATGCAACAGGAATACCATTATCCCGGCCACATGCACTGCTGCCAGCTGCTCGGCTCCAAACTCGATCTCCTCGTGGGCGAGCAGTTGCTCGAATCCCACGATGATCTGTAGGCAAATACAACCCAGGATTAGTTTCCAGCTTTGCGCGCTATCCAGGTGTTGCTTTGCCCACCTCCAGGACATTGTTGGTCCCATAGATGAAGTAGCATTGCTCCCTAATGGCCGAGTTGCCCAAGGTGCGACGCAGTTGCTCCAAACCGAATCCCTGGGGACGCACCATGTGGCTCAGGGGCATGGCGGACATGTTATCGGGGCTCCAACTGCAACCAAAAAAAAAAAAAAAAAAAATTAAATGCACTTCCACTTGTGTGCTTCCTCCAAAGGAAGGATTTTAGAAGGCTTCAGATCCTTTCAGATATTCAGTTTTCTCAGGATGTGTGTGTCTCTGTGTCTGTGTGTGTGTGTTTGTGCAAATGGCCGACAGCATTTTAATGAGCTTCCAGCAGAGAGACAACATTTTGACATGTTTTCCCCAAACGTCACTGGGCTGAAGACGCCTACAGTGATCACTGGCTAGGAGGGATGCTAAGTATGGGTGCTTGATGACATTTAATAGTGCTTTGGGTATTATTTTGATTTAAAAAATATATAATTAAAATTAAGGAAAAGTTAGTAAATATAATAGTAGTTTTTTTAATACATAAACATAATATTAAATAATTCTTTTAACTTTTTTCAAAATTATTAACATTAGTAAAAGTTGATTTGATTTTTGTATGATTTAAAAGATGAATTTAAAAGTATAAGCAAATAATATAATAAGTATTTAACAATTTAAAGACTTCTTTGCTTTTTTTATAGTTTTTAAAGCTTAATTTGTTCAAATATTTCACAAACTTACTTCACAAATTTATTTCTAAAATTATATGGAAATATTTAACATTTAAAAGTTTTTTTTTTTACTTAGGTACAAGATTAATAACATTTCTTAAATTCTAAAGATTATTATATTTGTTTCTTTTAATTCCATAGAATTTTTAATATAAATATTGCAGTTTAAAAAAAAACTTTCTAATACTAATTATTAAAACATTTTCAATTGTTAAAAATATTGTTGGAATTTTCTTTATTTTAGTTTATGTTTCACTAAACTATTTTTTCACTTTTCACTGTTTTTCACTGTTAAGCCTTTTTTTCGAATAGCTTTCACGATTTATTTTGAAATACTAAAAATTAAGTAGAAATTAATACTTATTTTTTTTTTAAATGTAAATAAGTAAAAACTATACTTAGTTTTTTAATACCACTTGAATACTTTTTAAATATTTTGTTTTAAACTTTCAAGTCGCTGCTTTGAAGAAAAGATCTTAAAGATCCTAATTTTTAAGACACTTTGAAGTCTTATCTTATATATTGTTTTATTTTTATTATTTATTTTTTTTTTTAATAGTTGTTTTTGCATAATTTTTGGCAAACGACTTATTTATTTAATTTGTTCCAGACATAAACTAAATCAACATGTCGTAGGCCAACCACTGCAATATTTTAGACTTAAGATTCCAATTAATAGTATTTCTTATTTGATTATTACTGTAACTGAAGGATTTTTATAGTGCTTTGGCCTGGGATGCTTGGTGTCCTTGCGCTGCTTTTTCTGTTTCCAGATTTTTTCTCTGCTTTTTTGCAAGCTTAAAAAAATAAAAAGAGCAGGCTGGCAAAATGCAAATGCACGCGCCGTGTGCGCATTTTAGCATAAAAGTCACCTGGGCCGCCCCCGCCAAACCCCCCGCCTTTATCTGCTTGAAGTTTCTTGCATACTTCTCGGGGGAAATATCTGCTCATTATGCATTCATATTTTGCAATTACTTGCCATGCACACACACACACAAGCACACACCTGGCCAGCATGCTCAGACCTGCACACACTTGCAAAGCTTAAGCAAAAAGCGCAAGCGGGATGGCAGGAGTAGAGGACGAGAACGACACAACTGTTAAGTTGCTGTCAACGGGAGTTTTTGTGTCTTCTCTTTCCCTTACATATTTTTTGTTGCTTGGCCTTTTCTTTTCCCCATTGCCGCCTACCTCCCACCCACTCTCTTATGTTTTTTTTTTTTTGGTGCCTTTTGGCCCATTTGCGTGAAAAATTCTTTTGGACGGAGAGAGAGATAGAGAGGAGACACCCATTGAAAATTTCCATATTCACATTTTAATTATGCGACGGCATGAAAAGATTAACAACTTGTGTAAGCAAGTCACCTTTGTGCGCTTTTTTTTTTCTTCTTTTAATTACATAAGCTTCATATATAATACTCGGCTTAACCTCACTTTATCTTATACGAGTTTGTTATTTGAGTTTATGTTATCCTATAGATCTATATCTGATCAGACTTGAATTGCGGTATTTGTGCGACAAGTGCAACCCTAACCCTCGGGGGGGGGATTATATGACATAATCCCCGGCACTTCAATTAGATGCGATAAAGGGTCTCAATTAGCGAGGGTTGTGTTCGGAGTTTTTGTTTATGGAAGGGTTGGGGAGTTAACGGGAAACGCCCCGCCCTTAGCTCAAAGTACAGGGCGGTCTAGTGTTTACTGGAAATAGAATTTGAAACTGTCTGGTAGCTTTGTTTGGGTTTTTTTTTCATTTTTCTGTTTAAAAAGTTCGAATTTCATGTTGAATCATGTTACTTTTTTTTGTTTATAACCTAGAAAATCTGATTTTCTGTGGTTTCTTTTTTCTAACTAGTTTTTTTTTTTACTTCTACCTAATATTTGTACTATAAGCAGTTAGAAGTTACAATTTCATGTTGAATCATGTTGCTATTTTACTTTATAACCTAAAAAAAATCGAATAATAGCTAAAACTGTGATTAGAAACTAAAATTTCTTTAGTTTTTTGTTATTTTTAGCTTCTAACTAGTTATTTTAACTAATATTTGTACTAAAACTAGTTAGAATTTCATGTTTTAAGCACAAAAACTTAGTTCTAGCTCTTTTTGTGATTAAAATATGGCCCTTTTTAAAACAATTTCCTAAGAATTAGGTCTTTTTAATAAAATCAGAATTATTTTTTGCAAAAAACCTAAGAAATAAATGAACTTTAACTTTTTAAAAGACCTTTAGTCCTTTATACAGACGTTTCACTGTGGCAATAAATAATCACAATATCGTTGTTTGTGTTTCTCTGCCACTGAATGATGATAATAATGATGTTGAATTGTTGATTTTGATGACAAGTGGCATGTGGCATGTGGCAAGTGGCAAGTGCTGCTGTGTGGTGCTACCCTTTAATTTTTCTAAAGACGATGATGAGGGGCTTTGTAACCAATCTGTGAATTTTACGCCTAATTTAAGGCAAATTGTTGACATAAACGTGGTGCAGAACCAACCACCATCCCCTCATCATACCAATAAGCCAAACTTTTAATGTGAACCCCCCTTTCATTTTTTAGTATATTGGCCTTGAAGGCAAACAAATTTTATTTAACAAAAGCCAACAGATTTTCATATCATTAGAGGTTTGAAGCTATAATAACCCCTTAATGAAGCACTTGTTTTGATTTATTTTCTATATATATATTCCTCCCTAGTAACAAACATTATAGGAAAAAGGTTGGAAAACCGATCCCTTTCTATAAACACCGCCAATGTGTCGTCTCGTGAAGGTGATATCTGAGAGAAAAAACAATTCTTGTTTACATTTTGTAGAAAGACTTTACAGACAAAGGGAATTCTTCAAGGGAATTTCTTGGCTTCAAAACATTTAATTTTTCTTAGTAATTAATAATTTTTTTATTTTATTTTTTACAGCCAATGGACGCAGCCTCGGAATCCATTGGCTTCACTTTGACGCAATTGGAGGAAATAATAGAAACTAAGGGCCTCACCAGGAATTTACGATTTTTTAATAAAAAGAAATCATTATTTAAGGTAAGTTTTATCCAAATATATCATTTATATATTTTTTAAAGAATTCTATTTCAATATCTAGCAAGTGAAGAAACTATTTCATAGAATGATCACCGGAATCATATATTGGGAAAGGGACCGCGTCCATGTCATGATGTCCGCCCTATTGGTAATCGCTCTCATGGAGGAGGAGGGCGTGGATGCTGAACGGAATCAACAATATAATTTAATAAAACGATTCTTGGTCTTTGTGAACTGCCAGAGTCCAATGAGCGTAAGTTTTTCCTATCCTAATCCTAGAGATATATCTTTTGTAAGACCCCCCTTTTAACCCCCCTAGGTCCATCTATTGATGGAACGAGTTATAGAGGAACTAGACAGCATGAATCTCAGCAGTGACGCCAATCTTCTCTACCTGTCCGTCGTCCTGGCCAACTCCAGTGAGCGGGCACGCCCTCTGGCCGTCTGCATGCTCTGGCAGCTCCTGGCCCGCCGCCTGCCCGGCATTAAGATCACCATGCATCGCTATCGTGAGCTCTCGGAGCTGGCCGAGGGCATAGCCCTGAGTCGTCCCGAAATGCCGGAGGAGATAATGTTGGATGAGAGTGCCGATGAGGACCTCAGGCAAGAAGTCGAGTCCGATCGGGAGTTCCGAAAGGCCAAGCTCCTGGTCCTACTGGAGGCAATCGAAAATCTGTTGCGCCTCGTCCTGGAGGCGGATAATACGGATCTGAAGGAGTTCGGATATCCGAATCACTTTTTCGAATTGGAGCGCAAGGATGCCGCGTCCCTGTACATGGTGTGTCTGGGACTGGTGCAAAAAGTGCCAGACGATGAGGATACGCTACATACCAAGGTATGTAATTAACTCTTTTAATATTTTTAATTTTTTTTAATTTTAAAATTTTGTCAACAGTTACATAATGTTTTGTGTAACCTTTCGGAAATTTTGGTCAAATGTCTTGACCTTAAAACTCAATCAAGTACAACCACTGGAGATACAAATCGTCCTCTAGTTATAAATGATGATCAACCTACTACTACTAATAATAATCCAGATACTATGGATGATGATAAGATGGATACTTCAAGTGGACCACCATCACCCGACACTACCACCGATATCTAATTAAATCGAGGGTTAAGTAATCCGGCTACTATAACCCTCGATTCAAACGACACTCGACACTCGCAAGAGAGGGGCACGGAGAAGGATAACCCCACTGACTGAGGGGTGACCTTCATACGGATACCTAAAGAAATACCATAGGAATAAGATGTCAGCAGCGATGGATCTACCTACGCGCGACCATTATCTATAAAGATTTCATCAAATCGGAATAATACATATCTCAGGGACATGTATACGATTAAGAATACATTTTGGGAATAGGTACGGATTTATAACACTAACACTATAGGGTTTTGCATTAAAGACGGGTGTGGAATATCTTTTCGATTTTGGATTGCGAGATGGTACCACCATTATCAATGGTGCCAATGACGATCAACACACATCCCAAGCGACATTACAGATATATCAACCTAAAAAAAAAAAATCATAACAAAAAAAAAATAAATATTAAGTATTAGTATATAAGAGACCTTAACTAAAAAGAAAACAACACACAACAACAACAACACAGGAGGCGCGCACAGTAGCTAGTTAACAAGATCGGCTATATCTACACTGAGCATCTATATACGGCTATACGCTATATCGGGCTATATCGAAGCTAATATAATCACACTGTCTAGTTTGTAAGAATTTGTATTTCAAAAGGAGGAGTGACTTGCTAGTCGCTATATCTCTCCTTAAATAAATACATTATATGAGCATTCAAATATTATTTTTGTTTTATTTTTTAAAAGGGTGGTACTTGAATAAATATTTGAATTTAATATTTAAGGAAAATAAAAGAATCTTCTGCTTTTTCTTCTAGATTCTAGATTAGAATTAAATCAAGATTAATTGATTTTAAATTAATTCTTCTAGAATCTAGATTATTTAAATCCAGGTATAATTTTAAAAATTGAAATTCAATTACATTAATCAGCTTTAATTAAATATTTTTTATATCAAGCTGTACTTCAAAAAGTAGATTTTTTTTTTAATTCCTAAATTATTATTGCTTGATTTCTTTTGTTTTATTTTGGATTTGTTTCTTTTAAAATTATAAATTCTTTTAAAACTTTCAATGGCATTTCTACCTAAAAACCATATTTTTTCACTTCAAATTCTGAATTCTGATTTGAACTACACTTTCTAAATAACTAACAAGATTTAAAAATACTTATATTTCATAATTAAAATCACTAAATCACTAATCACTGCTTTGTTCTAAAACAGGCCACCACATATGTGTATTTATAATTTATGGATAATGGATAATAAAACCCAATTTAATTAAATTATTTAAATTAAATGTATCTAAAGCCAAAATTATCTTTTTTTTTTGGATTTTTATTATTTTTAATTACTTTTATTACTTCCTTTAATTTTATTTTTAAAATCTTCAGCTTGTTTCTATATTTTTTTTCAACTTCTTTAACACAAAGTTAGTGTCTTATTTAAACGATTTCTTTCAATCTTGAAATGGAATACCTAGTTTAAATATTGAATTATACAAAATATTCATAATTAAAAATATAGCACTGGAATATAATTCTCCATTTTAAAATTAAAAGCTTAAACTCCGTTTAACAAATGAATTTAAAACTGAATTTAAAGATTCAAGTTTAAAATGAGGTTTATTAAATTTCTATTCATTTAGATGAAACTATTTTCTAAATTATTAAATGTATTTCATTTAACAAGGTTGAATAGATTATAGATTTAAAGATTTAAATATTTATAGTTTTATAGATTTTTTATAAAAAAAAAAAGATAGTTCATCTTCTATCTGTATTTAGTTTTTTTAGAATTATAGATTTATAGATGTATAGATTTAATGACTTATAGATTTATAGACATCGATGTTTTATAGATTTTTTTTTTTAAAGATTTTTAATCTTCTATCTGTCTTTAGTTTTATTTTATAATTATATTTTTTTTTCACTTCCCAAGGATGTCTTTTCCTTCACCCAAAGGTAGGATTTTATTTAAGATTTATGAAATTTTCTTTAAGATCCTTTAAGGTCCTTTTTTTTATAAAAATTTCCATTTTTTAGAAACCACTCACTTATCCATCACTTATCACTTAAGAACTTAAAAATTGAACTGATCGATCGGCGAGACTGCAGCCCTTTTATTTCCAAACCGGGGGGGCCTGTATCTGGGGATATATCCCCATGGATTGTGGAACCTGTTCGATGAGATTGATTTGTTTATATTTTGGGGCTTGAGTTGGAGTTGGAAGTGGGAGTGGACTGGCCAGAGGTTCGATCGGACAAAAAAAAAAAATACAACAAATGCGGCAATTAGTGGCATAAAGATGCCACACAGATATTGCATAACAAGTGTGCCACGGCCCGGGGCACAAACACAATTTGTGACAATTTTCCAACCGGATAATGACGAAACATTTTAATCACAGTATCCTTTATATATATATATATATATATATATCCTTGTATATGTGAATGAGAATGAAAAGTGAAACGGAAACCACCACCAGGATAATGTACAAATTTTCACACAATATGGCAAACATCGCCGGCAAACAAACAAAACACGCCCCCTTTGCCGCCTCCTGCCAACCGGAAGTCAAGTGTGTCGAGTCTACCCCACCACCCCTCCCTCCACAGACCCATCTGGAATGATGATATAATCGCCCCTCATCACCGCAATCATTATGTTTTGTCGAGTTGTGTGCCCTCAGGGGGGGGGAAAGGACTGGCAGGACTATAAGGACACCCCTGGACTGCCGCCAGGACACAGCAGGCAAGAATTTAAATCGAAATTGGAGTGGAAAGTGTGTGCGTGTCGATGTTAATGGCGAAAGTCAAGTGCCTTTAGGCGAAAGTATATTTCAAGATACTTTTGTGGTTTGGGAATCAATTTTAATTCTTAACTAAATACTGACGCGAATTTGATCCAAAAATGTTTTAAGGTATTCCCCTCAAAAATCGGATAAGAACTAGCAAAGATATAGCCATCGGAAGGAGCCATGTAGGAAAAACACGATTCTGGCAGGGGTATCCCCAGGAAAATTTTGAAAAAAATTGAAAAAATATTTTGTGCCAGGATTTTGATGCACAATGATGGGGAATCGAGCCACAAATGTTTTAAGGTATTCCCCATAAGGATCGGATAAGAATTGCCAGAGATATAGACATCGGAAGGGGCCACATAGGAAAAACACGATTCTGGCAGGGACACGTATCCCCAGGAAAATTTTGAAAAAAATTGAAAAAATATTTTGTGCCAGGATTTTGATGCACAATGATGGGGAATCGAGCCACAGATGTTTTAAGGTATTCCCCATAAGGATCGGATAAGAATTGCCAGAGATATAGACATCGGAAGGGGCCATATACGAAAATCACGATTCTGGCAGGGACACGTATCCCCAGGAAAATTTTGAAAAAAATTGAAAAAATATTTTGTGCCAGGATTTTGATGCAGAATGATGGGGAATCGAGCCACAAATGTTTTAAGGTATTCCGCTCAAGGATCGGATAAGAATTGTCAAAGATATAGACATCGGAAGGAGCCATGTTGGAAAAACACGATTCTGGCAGGGGTATCCCCAGGAAAATTTTGAAAAAAATTGAAAAAATATTTTGTGCCAGGATTTTGATGCAGAATGACGGAGAATCGACCCACAAATGTTTTAAGGTATTCCTTTTAAGAATCGGATAAGAATTGCCAGAGATATAGACATCGGAAGGGGCCACATAGGAAAAACACGATTCTGGCAGGGGTATCCCCAGGAAAATTTTGAAAAAAATTGAAAAAATATTTTGTGCCAGGATTTTGATGCACAATGATGGGGAATCGAGCCACAAATGTTTTAAGGTATTCCCCATAAGGATCGGATAAGAATTGCCAGAGATATAGACATCGGAAGGGGCCATATACGAAAAACACGATTCTGGCAGGGACACGTATCCCCAGGAAAATTTTGAAAAAAATTGAAAAAATATTTTGTGCCAGGATTTTGATGCAGAATGACGGAGAATCGACCCACAAATGTTTTAAGGTATTCCGCTCAAGGATCCGATAAGAATTGTCAAAGATATAGACATAGGAAGGAGCCATATAGGAAAAACACGATTCTGGCAGGGGTATCCCCAGGAAAATTTTGAAAAAAATTGAAAAAATATTTTGTGCCAGGATTTTGATGCACAATGATGGGGAATCGAGCCACAAATGTTTTAAGGTATTCCCCATAAGGATCGGATAAGAATTGCCAGAGATATAGACATCGGAAGGGGCCATATACGAAAAACACGATTCTGGCAGGGACACGTATCCCCAGGAAAATTTTGAAAAAAATTGAAAAAATATTTTGTGCCAGGATTTTGATGCAGAATGACGGAGAATCGACCCACAAATGTTTTAAGGTATTCCCCATAAGGATCGGATAAGAATTGCCAGAGATATAGACATCGGAAGGGGCCACATAGGAAAAACACGATTCTGGCAGGGGTATCCCCAGGAAAATTTTCAAAAAAATTTAAAAAATATTTTGTGCCAGGATTTTGATGCAGAATGATGGGGAATCGAGCCACAAATGTTTTAAGGTATTCCGCTCAAGAATCGGATAAGAATTGTCAAAGATATAGACATAGGAAGGAGCCATATAGGAAAAACACGACTCTGGCAAGGGTATCCCCAGGAAAATTTTGAAAAAATTGAAAAAATATTTTGTGCCAGGATTTTGATGCAGAATGACGGAGAATCGACCCACAAATGTTTTAAGGTATTCCCCATAAGGATCGGATAAGAATTGCCAGAGATATAGACATCGGAAGGGGCCACATAGGAAAAACACGATTCTGGCAGGGGTATCCCCAGGAAAATTTTCAAAAAAATTGAAAAAATATTTTGTGCCAGGATTTTGATGCAGAATGATGGAGAATCGAGCCACAAATGTTTTAAGGTATTCCGCTCAAGAATCGGATAAGAATTGTCAAAGATATAGACATAGGAAGGAGCCATATAGGAAAAACACGATTCTGGCAAGGGTATCCCCAGGAAAATTTTGAAAAAAATTGAAAAAATATTTTGTGCCAGGATTTTGATGCAGAATGATGGGGAATCAAGCCACAAATGTTTTAAGGTATTCCGCTCAAGAATCGGATAAGAATTGTCAAAGATATAGACATAGGAAGGAGCCATATAGGAAAAACACGACTCTGGCAAGGGTATCCCCAGGAAAATTTTGAAAAAAATTGAAAAAATATTTTGTGCCAGGATTTTGATGCAGAATGACGGAGAATCGACCCACAAATGTTTTAAGGTATTCCCCATAAGGATCGGATAAGAATTGCCAGAGATATAGACATCGGAAGGGGCCACATAGGAAAAACACGATTCTGGCAGGGGTATCCCCAGGAAAATTTTCAAAAAATTGAAAAAAATATTTTGTGCCAGGATTTTGATGCAGAATGATGGGGAATCGAGCCACAAATGTTTTAAGGTATTCCGCTCAAGAATCGGATAAGAATTGTCAAAGATATAGACATAGGAAGGAGCCATATAGGAAAAACACGATTCTGGCAAGGGTATCCCCAGGAAAATTTTGAAAAAAATTGAAAAAATATTTTGTGCCAGGATTTTGATGCAGAATGATGGGGAATCGAGCCACAAATGTTTTAAGGTATTCCCCTTAAGAATCGGATAAGAATTGGCAAAGATATAGACATCGGAAGGGGCCCAGGCAGGGGTATCCCCAGGAAAATTTTGAAAAAAATTGAAAAAAATATTTTGTGCCAGGATTTTGATGCAGAATGACGGAGAATCGACCCACAAATGTTTTAAGGTATTCCCCATAAGGATCGGATAAGAATTGCCAGAGATATAGACATCGGAAGGGGCCACATAGGAAAAACACGATTCTGGCAGGGGTATCCCCAGGAAAATTTTCAAAAAAATTGAAAAAATATTTTGTGCCAGGATTTTGATGCAAAATGACGGAGAATCGACCCACAAATGTTTTAAGGTATTCCGCTCAAGAATCGGATAAGAATTGTCAAAGATATAGACATAGGAAGGAGCCATGTTGGAAAAACACGATTCTGGCAGGGGTATCCCCAGGAAAATTTTGAAAAAAATTGAAAAAATATTTTGTGCCAGGATTTTGATGCAGAATGACGGAGAATCGACCCACAAATGTTTTAAGGTATTCCGCTCAAGGATCGGATAAGAATTGTCAAAGATATAGACATAGGAAGGAGCCATATAGGAAAAACACGATTCTAGCAAGGGTATCCCCAGGAAAATTTTGAAAAAAATTGAAAAAATATTTTGTGCCAGGATTTTGATGCAGAATGATGGGGAATCGAGCCACAAATGTTTTAAGGTATTCCCCTTAAGAATCGGATAAGAATTGGCAGAGATATAGACATCGGAAGGAGCCATGTTGGAAAAACACGATTCTGGCAGGGGTATCCCCAGGAAAATTTTGAAAAAAATTGAAAAAATATTTTGTGCCAGGATTTTGATGCAAAATGACGGAGAATCGACCCACAAATGTTTTAAGGTATTCCGCTCAAGAATCGGATAAGAATTGCCAGAGATATAGACATCGGAAGGGGCCACATAGGAAAAACACGATTCTGGCAGGGGTATCCCCAGGAAAATTTTCAAAAAAATTGAAAAAATATTTTGTGCCAGGATTTTGATGCAAAATGACGGAGAATCGACCCACAAATGTTTTAAGGTATTCCGCTCAAGAATCGGATAAGAATTGTCAAAGATATAGACATAGGAAGGAGCCATGTTGGAAAAACACGATTCTGGCAGGGGTATCCCCAGGAAAATTTTGAAAAAAATTGAAAAAATATTTTGTGCCAGGATTTTGATGCAGAATGACGGAGAATCGACCCACAAATGTTTTAAGGTATTCCGCTCAAGGATCGGATAAGAATTGTCAAAGATATAGACATAGGAAGGAGCCATATAGGAAAAACACGATTCTAGCAAGGGTATCCCCAGGAAAATTTTGAAAAAAATTGAAAAAATATTTTGTGCCAGGATTTTGATGCACAATGATGGGGAATCGAGCCACAGATGTTTTAAGGTATTCCCCATAAGGATCGGATAAGAATTGCCAGAGATATAGACATCGGAAGGAGCCAT